TCATCAGTGTTTAGTAAATGAAACACAATGCGGGGAAGAATCAGAGCTGTAACTAGAGGGGGTGTCTTCTTCCCAGAGGTTACAGTTAGTATGGAGGAGGATGAGTCATTGTTGGAAAGCAGTGCAGCGTCCTCTGGGCTGTGAACAGTGGTCATTTATTTAAGCTGTCTCTTGCTACTGGTTCCCTTTGACATTTTTCTTATTTGGTACATGGAGAAAAAATAGCATGAGACAACGCTACTGCAGGCTCAGAATTAAGACTTTTAATTTAAAATGTGAGTTGACGGGGCGCCTGGGTGGCGCAGTCGGTTAAGCGTCTGACTTCAGCCAGGTCACGATCTCGCGCTCCGTGAGTTCGAGCCCCGCATCAGGCTCTGGGCTGATGGCTCAGAGCCTGGAGCCTGTTTCCGATTCTGTGTCTCCCTCTCTCTCTGCCCCTCCCCTGTTCATGCTCTGTCTCTCTCTGTCCCAAAAATAAATAAACATTGAAAAAAAAAATTTTTTAATAAAATGTGAGTTGACTATATTCTTTTTCTTTTTTTGGAAAGTTGTGCCTTTTGAAACACCATCCTGAGTGAGGTGATAAGTCTTATTTGCCTCACTGTATGCTTTCTCTTGTCAACCTAACATTAATATTTACAAAAAGACATTGTAGTTCAGTTCCACAGATCTTAGCTGAGTACCTGTTATGAGGAATACAATGGAGAGTAGGATAGAGGAAGGTGAAATTGCTGTTTTGATTGAAACACAGAGTATATGTAGAGTGTAATAGATAAGATGAGAAGTGTAAGCTCTCAATGTAGTTAAGTGGGTACAGTTGAGAGTTTTGAATAGAGGAGTTGTTGTTTGATGTGTTGTATGTTTTTGTTTTGGGTAGCATAGGGGAGTATATTGGCTTATTTGTACTGTTTTGTTTGATTCAAATACCTTTTGCTGATGTTCATTTAAATTTAAAAACAATTTTTTTAATGTTTATTTTTGAGAGAGAGCTGGGGAAGGACAGAGAGAGAGAAACACAGAATCTGAAGCAGGCCTCAGGCTCCAGCTGTCAGCACAGAGCCCAATGTGGAGCTTGACCTCATGAACCCTGAGATCATGACCTGAGCCAAAGTCCAAAGCTTAACCCACTGAGCCATCTAGGTGCCCCAAAGTTCATTTAAATTTAAATAGGTGATCAATTTCTCAAGTGCTAGCATATTAGCCAAATTACATTAAACAGTATCCAAAAATACTCAATACTATGAATTCTTAGTTTTTAGGGACCACCTCACTGGAAAATAGTAGGACGAAATTATTCTTAAGTATATGGTATTAGGTAAGGAAAACAAAATTCATTGTTGGCCAGATAAGATCAGGGAGCCTATATTCCTCACCTTGACTCATTCATAAGAAGATAGAAGTTTTAGTAATGATATTTAAAGATCAGGAGGGGAAAATATTTGCTATACTGCTAAGAAATGAGTCAGTGTTATTTAAGCCCACTGTTTAATTCAATGCCTTGATATATTTAGATCCTTTGTGACTTGAAAAGAAGATAGCCCCAAGAACAATGTAGATGTCATTTTAAATATTGCCTTCTCCAAGAATCTAATTAGATAAGAAATTTTTATATCAGCCAACCAATCAGACCAGTACCAGAATCTAACTGCTAGCCTCATTTAGTATGTTTGGTGAACTGTTTCTCTCAGAGCAGTTCAAAATCAGCTTTTGTAGAGAAGAGAAAGAGCTTAATATCTCTCAATCCAACTTTCTCTCTACCTCTTCCTCCCATACCTGCATTCACACCCACACCCACACCCACACCCACACTAAGTATTTTAAACCAAATATTTAAAGCCAATGGACTGATGAGTTGTCCTTGGTGTGAGTCATAGGACTAGTTCTAAATTATTAATGGCCATTGTAATTCCATTTGGTATTCTGTTTGATACAGTGAGTCAGCTATTGTGATGCCAACTTGTTTTTAGATGCAAAAAGGGGGGAAATTAACATCATTCTCAGCTGAGCAATATGGGATTGAATGTGATATAGGCCTTGTGCTTTTGATAAGGGCCGTATTTTATTCCCCAGAGATTATGAGAATGTGATTAATCCAGGATTACCAGGATTTGCTAATGTTACCATAAATGGAGACATTTTTGGCTATTTTTTTTGGTGACAGTTTTGTAAATAAAAATTAAATGTCTCATTCACAGGTCATAGGAGGATCTGTTTTTGACCCAAATGGGATGTTGGGATATAGTGAGTTCCTTGACATTGGAGAAAGGTAGAACTGAGAGTTGGTTGAGGGCTATGCAGTATATATTTTTTGATTTTGTAGGAGTTTGACTAGTTTCCCAGCCCAAATTTAACTGAAAACTATGTAATTCAAGAATAATAAGACACAAGAGGGGCTAAATGTGAGCTAAAACTGTCATCTCTGAACAAAGTGAAAGGGAGTAAACCTATAAAAATCACAGTAAAAATTTGTTTGCTGATAGAAAAAATTTGATTATTTTTTTTTTTAATTTTTTTTTTTTCAACGTTTATTTATTTTTGGGACAGAGAGAGACAGAGCATGAACGGGTGAGGGGCAGAGAGAGAGGGAGACACAGAATCGGAAACAGGCTCCAGGCTCTGAGCCATCAGCCCAGAGCCCGACGCGGGGCTCGAACTCACAGACCGCGAGATCGTGACCTGGCTGAAGTCGGATGCTCAACCGACTGCGCCACCCAGGCGCCCCAAAAATTTGATTATTAATAACCTGTCAGGCCCTTCTATATCCTGATTTTCTATAACTTAATTCCAAACATTCAGGTCAAGTCACTGGCACTTGGATCCCACTAGAAAGTTCTAAACTGAATTCTGGGACCTCCCTACCCCCATTTCTGGTTTGTTAAAAATCTTTAAGAAAGCAGGCAAAGAAGTTGACTTCTTTCCCAGATCACAGGCTTTTGATTAGGTGGTGTTGATGCTAGGCAAATCCTAGATCTGTATGGACTGCTGAAATAATTGATAACTAGCATCGTTTAGGACACAGGTTAAGTGAGGGTTGATGTCAAGGACCCAGGGTTAAGGCAGTGAATCTAATGGAACTTCAGGCAGGGAAGGCCAGCACCATGGACAGCTCCCCCAAACTAGGCTGGGGATGCAAAGGAGTCTACGGTTTATCTTGGAAAAAATGCATTCAGGTCCTTGTTCCACTTCTTCCTAGCTAACAATCTGTACCATGGATAGGAAATTTAACTTATGCAACCCTCAGTTTTCTCATCTGTGACATGGGAATAATATGTGATCTATATAGTTCTTGTGATGCCCATATTAGATGACAAATTGCAAGTGAAAGTAGGTGTCAGCTATACAAATGAAAGATATTAATATTGTTTTTATTAACCTTACACTTTTAATAATTGACCTTTATTTACCTACGGTTGTATTATGTTAATGAAAATTGCTGGATTCTTCTCAAGATTTCACACTACAGTTAAAAAACAAACAAACAAACAAAAAAAAACAACTGGGGAAACCAGGATACTATAAGCAGGTATATACTTCATTGGTGAGAGAAGGGAACTAGAATTTACCATCTGTCTTGTAGGTTCAGACATAGGTTCTTATACTTGATAACTATTTAATTTTCATAACAACTCTGTGTACCTAGCAAAGAGTAGAGGAGTCTGTCCATGCCATGGCCATTCATCACAACACATTCCTTCTGTTACTTATGCTGGGGTGAAATGGGTGGCATCTGGTATGCAGGTCCTGAGTGGTGGTAGAATTCGTACTTTCAGTTTCTCCAATACTAGTCTCTTCTAGAGGTTTTCCTGATAGCAGAAAGCAGGAGTGAAGGAGAGAGAGACAGAGACAGAGAGAGAGAGAGAGAGAAAGAAAGAAAGGAATACACTAAAGCTCCCAGCAAGGGGATATCGGGGCTTCCATTGCCAGGAGACAGAGCTATATATCCAAGGACTGCTTTAGAAGGAGATGAACCAAACTTACAAGATGACCCAGGTTGTTACTGAGATTGTTGTAGGTCTGGCCTTGGTGGTGGCCTTCTCTGCAGAGACCTTCAATCCAGCGGTTATTAAAGAAAATAAAAATTCATACTTCAGTATCTGTGTGTGATAACTTTAATACAGTGACATCTTTGTAAAAAGCATCTAACTACCTTTATAATTAGAATATTTTAAGAGCAACAGAAGTCTCGAGTCATTAGCACTTAATATTCCTGCCTTTGATGAAACTAAGGTATTTTTCTTGTGACCCATTCATAAATTTTTATTAGATTTAATTTAAATCTTTATTTCAGAACAAAATAGGATATTTAACTTTTTAATAAACATGAATTCTACATATGGAAAATGACCATTTGAATGCATAAATTAATGAATATAAAATGTATAATAATGGGAATTGATTGGGTAGCAAAGAAATACCCTTAACTTCTTTCTGTATGGTTTATCTCATGTTTATAAGGATATAGACAGCTACAGGAAGCTTTATAAGATTAGTATTCAAGCCCTTTCATCTGAAGATCAGCTGGGCTGATTTTGTTTTCTTACCAGTTTGATAGATGCTTGTGATTATCTGTTCAATAGCCCATGGAGAAATAGATGGAAGAAGTAGCAATTTTCTACCTAGGTAGCATTTTAGATCCATTATCAGAGGGAAATGATAATTGTATGATGCTGTTGTCCCTCAGAACTTTCAAAAGGCAAATGTTAGTGATTAGGTAGTTATATAATGATGTATATAATAAAGAACACTGGGGTTGAAAGCAGAAGAAATAAGTTCAAATTCTTGTTTCAATACCTACTGGGTGCCTGATCTTTGGCAAATTGTTTAAACCTTCTGAGCCACAGTTTCCTCCTGTGAAAGTAGGACTGTCCCCCATGTCAGAGAATGGCTGTAGGAAAAATAATATTAGATGATGTTTGTGAAAGTGCTTGAAACTGTTAACACACATTTTGAAAAGAAACTTTATAATAATTCTCCTTTTTGCTTGTTTTCTTTAGAAAGTGAGTGAGAAGGTTGGAGGAGCTGAAGGAACCAAGCTGGACGATGACTTCAAAGAGATGGAGCGGGTAAGTCTTGACCCTTAGAGCTCCCTTTGACATAAAATTGTCTAGCATACTGAGAGGGGAAGGGCTCTTCTCTGGTACCTGAAAATGCATCTTGTTATTGTAAAATATACTCTCCTTTTAGTGTATATTTTAAAACAGAAGACACAAAGTATTCTCTCTTCCCTTTGTACTGAGAACAAAGCTTCAGCAAAGGTGAAATGTCATAATGTACTTTCTTGGTGGATTTTATCATTAATTTTCCAAATAGGACAACATGAAGTTGTGCTTGAATGGGGGGTGGAGTGTGAAAAAAATAGGGGAAGGTGGAAAATGGTGTCCTGAGTGTCTGGGAGAGTTTGAGTCACTGCCTGGCCTTGGTGGACCTCTGGGCAGGGCCATGTGGTGGCAGCAGGTGTGGTGGACAGTACGCATGAAGGGACCTGTGGGCTTGGCCATGGTGCCCTTGAACTGCTTGACCCACAAGTCAGTTTATTGCTCTGAGTCTTATTTTTGTGTAAATGTAAAATGAGAATACTAATCCCTAGTTGGGGGACTTGTGTTAAGGATGAAAAATAAGGTAAATTATTTAGCGTTCTCTCTAAAAGATAGCTGATTCTCAGCAGGTGAGGGTGGAGGTGGCAAACAGAATAGCCCATTTCATTTCTCTTGTAACATCGCCGTATTTTCTCTTTGAGACAGTTCATAGCAAGTGATAATCTAGGCTTATGGTGAAGAGTGTGTGTTGCGTGTTGCAAAGAATTGTTTCTGGTGTTCAACTGATGGGTAAAGGATCTGGCAATACAAACCCTGTACTTGGACAGAGAGGATGTCAAAAGCCTATAGTACCTGGAAAACTGCATTTTTACTTAGGTCACATCAGTTCCAGTAGGCTGCCTCAGTTTTGCCATTTGTGGTCTTTGTGTGAAGAGCCAAATGAAGAAAGTTGCTCAGGTGCTTTGTGCTTTGTCTTTTTCAGTTCTTTCTTTTGAGTTCATTGATGAATTCAGCAAATTCTTATTTTGTGCTTCTATGAGCCAAGCATGTAGGATACAGCAGTGAACAGAATGAGCACGAATTATTAGAAATTAATGTTTCTGTAAAAGAAACAGCAAGTAAGAGAGAACAGGACCCATTTGAGTTCCTGGGGAAAAAAAAAATGAGTTGCCAAGGGAGAGGGGTCTTATGAGATGAGATTGTGTAGTGTTAATGTAACTGATCATTCTGGCCGAGTTCTTGAGACAGATCTCACTGATAGCACAGGTACCCACTAGAAAGGAGATTTAATACAAGAGTCGTGAGGCCCAACCAGAAGTCTGGGAGTCCAGCCTCTTACACCTAATACCTGATAGCTATTTGCCCACACTGGGGCAATTAAAATCTGCATTGATCCTTATTTCTCATCTCTGGACAGTTCTCAGTACTGCCCGATGAACCAAAGCTAGAACTCTCTGGTGTTCATAGTTCTGGAAATGGTATTCTACCCCTTTGTTTTCTACAGCATCTGAGAACAGATACTGATACATTTGCCTAGAATGACTGGATTCCTCTATTCCCTGTAATATTGGGGTTCCTCACATCTCATAAGAAGCTGCCCTGTGGGTCTGTTAATTTGCACCAGCTTCTGTCTCCAGCCATTATTTCTTAATCTCCCCTTCCTTATCCTTTGATTCGTCCCTCTCCCCTCAGGAGAGAATTTATAACATCCTCCCTGGTCCCATGTTGTTAATGACAGATTAGTCAGGCATTGAGGAATTCAGAACCAAGGAGTCAGAATTTGAGTTGAGCTTTCAGCGTCTGCCAGGACTAAAGATAATAAGCTAGGTAGCTCATTGACTAAGCTAAGACAAACTTTCCATTTTTTAAATGGAACTAAAAAGAACAGGAAATTTAGAGAAAAGAGTAGAATTTATCACTGAGCAACTAATTAAGCCTTTGAATCCATGCCCATCTTGCAAACTAATTGAAATGAAAGAAGATCTTGTAAGTATTTTCCTTCAGGCAAAGACTCAAAGGCATCTCTGGGCTCAAAGGTAAGGTTTATTTCTCCTATTTCCTAGAAAATAATTAGTTTCTGAAGCTTTTGTCTCAAAAAAGATATTTTTTGCTGATTATTTGAGGAACACACCTTTGGTTTTATATTTCGGTTTATCTCTAAGTAAATTGAGAGATTTACATTTCAGAGCAGTGTGGAAGTTAATTTCATTTTACTACACATATTTGTTTGTTTTACCTATGGCTCTGTGCACATTTTACAGTCTACCTATGCTCAATTTGCATTAAAGGTAAAGATTTCTGTGATAACTGGAAAGCACATGCCTTGGATTTGGAATCTCAAATCTTTTCTGTCCTGTTATTTATTAATGACTCACAAAAATATTTTAGCTCGGCGTTCCCAAGCCTGCAGAAGAATCACCTGTCCACAGTCAGTTTTCTGATCATCAGGCATTTTGGGTACAGAGACCTTTGTTCAGATGCATTCTCAGAGGTGCAATTAGGCAACAAAATGAAATAAATTAGAGGTTTGCATCAATCAGCACTAGTTGGAAAGAGAAGTGGGTATTCCTAGATGTTGTTTCTCTAATCAGCCACCCCAGCCACTCTCCTGCCAAGATGCAATAAAATCACACTTGGGTCTCTTAGCACTCATGGCTCCCAGAGCTGATTGGGTGGAACCCTGCAACTCTGTTGTCTCTGCAGGACCGCTGCCTATAGCCACTTCTTTCCTCCCCTTAAATACCTTGTCTAGAATTGTTTATGTGTTAGTTTAAAAAAATTTTTTTTCAACGGTTTTTATTTATTTTTGGGACAGAGAGAGACAGAGCATGAACGGGGGAGGGGCAGAGAGAGAGGGAGACACAGAATCGGAAACAGGCTCCAGGCTCTGAGCCATCAGCCCAGAGCCTGACGCGGGGCTCGAACTCCCGGACCGCGAGATCGTGACCTGGCTGAAGTAGGACGCTTAACCGACGGCGCCACCCAGGCACCCCTATGTTTTAGTTTTAAATGGTATCTGTTGCTTACAAGATCTGTTAAATACAGACTAAAGTTCTTACTGTGGTATAGACATCTTGTAGATATGTTTATTGAGAAGCTGCGGATTTTTTGTCAAGAGGAAGTTCTAGAATTTGAGGATCTGTAATTCCTTCTTAAATCTCCATCTGTTGCTACAGTGATACTGTGGTTTCGTAGGTGTGTGTGCGTGCGTGTGTGTCGTTATATTCATTAATTCATATGGTATATCCGTAAATGCGTCCTCCTTGTACAAAGTGTTGTGGTGGGCATCAGGAATACAAAGATGATTAAGGCACAGTTCTTGCCATCAAGGGACTTCCAGTTTTGATGGAAGAAATGTGGCTTACAGGACATGGTGCTTGGCACCCTGTGGAGATTCCCATGGAAGACCTAGCTCAGGTTGGTTAGATTGGTGGAAGCTTCCTAGAGCAGAGGGTGCCTGAGCTAAATGCTACAATTTTCTCTTGCCCTGCATATAGGAGGAGTGTAGTGTCCCTTTTCGCAGCATGAAAAGTATCTTGGGAAATCTCTTTTCTTGAAACCAGAAGAGGTCATATGGTTGGAAATGTGGTTGTATACCACTTCAGTGAGAATGGAATTCTTAAGGGCTGCCTCCAATTTTAAGACAAGCAGGATGTTGGAGAAGAATGGGAAGAAAGCCGTTCCATGTGAAAGTGTGAAAGAGTGGGTTGTTGGCAGAGTGGGATGTGGGGAAAAGTCAGAAATGAATGTCCATGGTCATCATCTTCATACACTTAATTAGTCATTGGGTGGAGGGGGGTTGTTACAGCTTTCTATCCAGCTCCAAGTGGTAGAAATAGAATTAACGAGTAGGAACTGTGAAGAGATAGAGTCAGGCTCAATGTATGAAAGAACTTCTGGTTCTCAGAGCTGCTTAAAAAAAAGGAAGCCATGGCTATAACTGAATTCCCCGTCATTGTCCATGTTTAAGCAGAGGCTAAAATCACCTTGTGAAGTGGTGTGAAGCACACTAGTCATCATCTCTTGAGTATTGTGGCAAGTAATTTGGAACTAATAACGTCACATTTAAATAATACCACTGGATTGAACTCTGGCGATTGATCTCAAATGAAGAAGGAAGGAGTAGAGTCTGGGCCAGCACACTCAGAGTAAAACATATGTGAGCACACCCTTTGGAGTCTGTCATGACTATGAATGTCTTTTTCATGGACGTGGTGGTAAAACAGAAGGTGTGGATGACTGTACTAAGACCCTCACTCACTGGTATACTTGTAAGATGGGTAAGAGCCCCAGACAAGATGAGCTCTAAAAACAGCTTTCTGGTGATCCTGAAATTCAGGGAAGTCAAGGTTCTTCTCAGCTGTGTGTTTACAATATACTTCCATGCTGATACTCATTAAAGGTAATGCCTGGGAAGATTAGCAAAAAAATACGTAGGGGAAATCTCAGCCTAATGCCTTGTTTATTTTTGTTTTTCAACACACTATTAATCAGGCTTTCCAAATACCAGATAACTGCTAGAAAGCAGAGCAATTTGGGAACAGGTACGTTAATTCTTCTGAGCCAGTAGGGAACTATTAAAACATCCTTATTGGGCCAGCCTGTATCTTACTGCCAGACAAACTTTCCCAGGGTACTGATTCCATTATGTCTCTGTGACTTGCTTAATTAGGTGTCTCATTCAGGGTTCTCATTAAGTGGGTACGTGTGCATTCTTAAAAGGTTCATTTTCTTAACTTCAGTGATAGAAAAATTAAGATTTTCAAAAGATTTAGTGTTCATATGGCATGTAACTGTGAGTTACCCCATGTCCGAGTGGATGCTTAATTCATCTGTTTATTATTGATCACCAAACCTACACACTGTCCTGCTCCGTTTTAAGATCTTTTAATTTTTTTTTCTTAAACTCTGCTCCTGCCTCCCTGTGACAGCATCTGGGATGATGGAGTATCTGACAGTATAAAGTCATATCTTTAATTCTTTTTTTGCCCCACAAAGAATGCTGTATAGTTCGTGTGTGTTGCCAGCTAAGTTCAGGATGCAATGTCTACTTTTTCTCTAGTGGAAAAGGTAATATTCAGATGCCTCAGAACAAAATCATATTCTAGTCAATGTGGTGCCTTTTGGTTCTGTTGTGTCTTATCTCTAGAGGCTGGGGAAGCTGATGAAATGTTCAGCATCCATAGATTCACTGTGGCACACATTGGTGAAAATAGAACCTTAGCAAGGGATTGGCAGACTTCTTCTGTAAGCATATTAGGCTTTGTGGGTCAGAGAGCTTCTGTAGCCTCTGTTGAAACTTCTCATCTCCACTATTGAAGAGCAAAAGCAATTATTGATGGTGCCTAAAAGGAATGAGCATAGCTGTGTTCCAGTCAAATTTATTTAAAGACACTGAAATTTGAATTTCATGTCGTTATTATGTGCAATGAAATGGTAGTCCCCTTTTGAATTTTCCCAATCATTTAAAAATATAAAAACAGCTAGTGACCCAGATTTGGCCCACTGGCCATAGTTTGCCAACTCTTGCTTTTCTTGATGAAGAAAAATGTTATAGTGAGTACAGCAGGTTAAGAGAGCTATTTTTCTCCCTACCCAAAGTTGTAAATCACAAGACTAGATCGTGGAGGGAGAACCTTCTGATTCTAAAGTATGAGTGTTGCTAAAATCCTGGTATTGAGAAAATTGAGGAAAAATGACCAGAAGAATATATGTCTATGCTTTTACCTTCAGAAAAAAACTTACATTGAGTTTTTATGTCCTGAAAACATGCCTATTTTTATACATATTTACAGTTTCACCTCTAAACAGCCTTCCCTAATGACTCCCTACCACCATCCAGACAAAGTTAGGTAAAGAAATGCTCAGGAGCTCACAGGAATGGAAGTTGTAATTTAGGATGCATCAAAACTTTTTTTCAGGTAATCGAAAAATTTGGGGGTTGAGGAAATCTTTAACTGTATAAGTTCAGAGCTAAACTGTTGTCCTCAAATGGGAATGAGCCCTTGAAAGGTATGATAAATTAAGTGGAAATCTTAGTACATATTAATGATATCGGGCCTGTTAATAAGAGAATATGTGCTTGGACAAATCCAGTTTAAGTGTATATATATAGCTTCCTAGCAAGTACCTAATAAGTCATACTCAAGGTTCTCACAGAGTACTGACCCCTCAGCCTTTCTATGACCACCAAAACACAGCATCAGAAAGACTCTGAGACATTCTTAGCAATGACACAAATGGAAAGAAGCTAGAATTTGGTCAGCTTCCTACCTGCAGATGGCCATTAGTCTGTTTAGTTCCTCCGTCAGTCTTTCTTAGAAAATCTCTGACCCATGACCTTTGAACTACTTTTCTTTCCGTCATAGCTATAATGGGTCTGTGACCTCAGATAGTTTATTTCCGTTCTCCGAGTTCAGACTTGCACGTTTAAAACATCAAGGCTTTGGATTAGATGCTCTTGTAGTCTCTGTTCTTTATCAAGTGACATCTGTCAGAGTAAAATCAAGAGCAAGAGCTAGTGAATGAATTTGCTGATAAGCTGTTCTCTGAGATATTTCTTGTGAACGCTGTATATAAGTAAATCTATTGGATGAAGTTGTTTTCAGAAGTGGATTTCAAGTGAATTTTGTTTTATGATCTGATCAAATGGGTTTGGCTAGAGCTTGTTTTATGGTGATATATAGCTTAGGTAACTAAAAGTGTTGAAGGAATCTGCCTTGTTGGGCAGAAAAAGTCTATAATGATCTCAGGGTGGTATGGACTCCTTCGTGGAAGTTCCCTGTCAAACCACAGGGAACACTGGATAGTTTTTATTCCTACTTCCCTTTGAAGATTGATTTCCACACTGGGAACCAAACTTAATACTCGAATATTGGCATCGCTGTTCTGTGTCTCCCCTGAGACCACTGGCATTTGCCAAGCTAGTGGCTCTATTAATAGAGCCTGAGTAGTTGAGCTGTGTATTTAAAGAGCCCAGAAGGGAAAGGGGGTCCCATACCCCAAATCAGAACCATTTTTCACACCTTTCTTGCTGACCACTCTGTGGACCACTCCAAATATGCACTTCTGGTATCCAGCCTCTGTAGAGAAGCCTGTGTAACTCAGGGCTTGTAGCCAAATAGCTCAGTGTGGGAGAGCCTCCCTTTTGCAGATGCCCAGGGTAGAATAGTTCTTGTGAATGAAGTTTCCACAGACTTTGACGACTTAAAAAAAACAACACCACCAAAAAAACCCCCAGAAGATGGGATGGCAGGTGTTTCCCTCCTGCTCCTGTGTTGTTGGCCACTACTAGATAGATCCCCAGCCCCATCTGGGGGATGTTATAAAGAGGCTTGCAGCTCTGACTTCATTTGGGAGATGTTTCTGTTCCTTGCCCTTCTGTGGGGAGCTTATTCTTGCAAAAAGTTACAGTGTGGTACTTAAGAACACTATCTCTAGAGCCATAGTTGGGTAAGTTTGTTAACCTCTCTGTATCTATTTCACAGGGTTTCTTAGAATTAAATTGTAAAGGTATTTAAAATTCTTAGAATGATTTCTGACAAGTAGAAAATACTTTATGATGATGCTGGGCATAATTATGATTGAGGGCAGATATGGGGGAAAGTTAGAAGTGGTTAGCATCCTAGTAGCAGATGACTTCAGAATATCAAATGGTCAGTTCCTCTGGTTCACTCTCTTAGACACCTTGAACTTTAGAATTGTTTCCTCCCATCATAGCCACACAGGATCTTTGGATACACATTTGACATCCAATTCCCTTATCCCTATCATGTAGTCTTTAGGAGATCTGCGTTTTCCTCCTGTCATGAATGTAACCTGGACTTTTAGCATGTTTGTTGTGCACACAACCCTTAATTCACTTCCATGACATCGAGTACATAGTGGTTGATTGGTATTCTGCTAATACTGCCAGTACTTCCACATTTGGCCATGCAAGTCCTGTACTGCACAACTCCAGGGAACCCCTGCCTGCTATAGTACTAAACACTACTTGGTACATGGTCAAACTTAAGGCATATTCCTAACTCAAGTCAACCAGAAGGACATGGTACATGTCCTATGAGACAGGCATCTCTTAAATAGGAGTGCTTCTTGAGGTAATTTTATCCCATGATAACCCCACAAGAAAAGTGTTTTCCTCTGTTAATCACAATAATAGGAAACTCCTTACACACACAACAATATGACTGCCATAGAATAGGAAATTATTAAGTATTGAAAAACCAAACTGAAAGATAAAATCTTCTGATGGTTTATGGTTTGGTTTCTGATTATGAAAGATACTTAACCCATCCATAAAAGGCTGATTTTATATGCAGTTGTATAGTATGTTACTCAAAAATTTCTTGGAATTGACAGAGGAGCTCTTGAACTCCAGTTAAAACATAACAGTAAAATCCCCATGGGCTTAATTGATATCTGCAATTCTACCATCAAAAATTTCTTTCACTCCTATCTATATCATTTATCCCACACACGTACCTTGGATAGGAGGATGCATTTGTTTTTGTCAGTAATGTACCCTGTAGAGTGAGTGAGTGGACCACCCATGTTGATAAGGAAAGCATTTTATTGGGAAACGTGGAGTGGATCCACACAGACTCTTCATGTAGGGAGGAGGGCCCAACAGAGAAAGGACATGCTGACCTGCTGAATGCAAATGCTGACCATTCAAAATTTTGCAGATAGAGACTGTAGGATTGGGATTTTTATTTGGAATGAAACAAAAATTCAAGGATTGATTAGAAGTGTTTGCTCAAAAGTTTTATATACTTAGAACATTTTTATTTAACTTCTGAGGATATCCTATCTCGTACTTGAATAAACAGAGTTGATACTGCATTTTTCTTTCTTTCAGCCCCCAAACCTGTCACCATGCCTGGCCTACTGTAGACATCCTATAAATGCCTCTGGAACAAAATAAGATTCTTGATCTCCACCTTTTCTTTTTCTTTCTTTTTCTTTCTTTTTTTTTTTTTTTACCTTTGTAACTTTTATTTACATTTATTTTATGCTGAATTGATTATTGGGCCATATGTGTTTGTTTCTTTAGTTTTTTTCCCTGAGCTGTGTGTGTGTGTGTGTGTGTGTGTGTGTGTGTGTGTGTGTGTACACACACCTGTGCACATGCAACGTCCTCTTCTGGTTTAGGAATAGTTTGCTCTTTTTAGTAAGAGTTATCTCACTGCAGCAGAGTGAGCTCATGTAGGGGTTAATCTGACTATGAGCTCTATAAAGTGAATATAAAGATTTTAACCTCTTGATTTGCATGATTTTTGGGGGGTTTCTGGGTCAAGTTAAGAGTAGACCATTTTCAGAGATTACCTCAGGCCACTTAGGGGAAGAGGAAGCCATCTCCACCTTATTTTGCCAGAAGATAGTGAAGTATATTTTGAAACAAATTTTAGGAAATTCCAGGTTCCTCTTTGAATAAACAGGGTTTCCACATCTTGATGGAGCTGAGCTGAATGCAAAGCCATTCTTCCTACTGGAGCGTCTCCAGCCCCTCACTGTCCACTGCAGGACTGGTTCTGTTGCTGCACCAGTGGTTGTAGATCTACTCAAGCAAGAGCTAAGGTGCTAAAGTGAATAATTCTTGTGACTTAGAATATTTATTTTCTTATTTCAGAAAGTGGATGTCACCAGCAGGGCTGTGATGGAAATAATGACTAAAACAATTGAATACCTTCAACCCAATCCAGGTAAGGGACCACTTTATATATTCAGGGTATCCCTCCAGGTAACTTGTAGTTTCTCTTTAATAGACATTTAAGTTTGGTGTGCTTCTACTTTCTCAGCCCACCTTTCTGGAGGGCTTGGTATATGGCACTTTGAGGAGGGAGGACTTTTTAAGGCTCACACTGAGGTAACTGAAGGAGTCTGTCATATTTTATCTGACTCTAGGATATTTAGCAAATGGTATAGCATGAACAGCTTGGAAGCCACATCATGTCAGGGTAGCCACAAGCTGTTAGTAACCAAACTTTAATTTGCAAGGGATGGTAAGAAAAAACGGGATAATTTTAAGATATGATACAGCTATTCCTATAAGGTGTGAAAGAGTAAAAAATTTTTGTGAAATACAGAGGGTTTCTTTCATACAGCATCACTAAAGTTTTTGGAGGGTTGTTCCTAATTCCAGTTCTTCTCCCAGTACATTGCAGGTCAGCATTTGTTTCTGCTAACTTGTTACACTCTCAGAGAAGGAAGTTTTAATAGAGATAATGGATCTACTCCTTGAAAAGAGAACCAGGCAGAACTGGGCAGTGTCTATAGGCACAAGGTATAACAAAGCAAAACAGCCACTGTCATCGACCTCCTCACTACTCTTCCTGACATCAGTTCCTAACTTAGAACTGATAGAAGCTTGAAGCAAGGCTGGATGTATTTATGTGAAAAGTATGAATATTTAGAAAACTGCTGCTTTCTTTTGGGAATAGTTTCTTTGGGAGTTTCAGGCTGGGAGACCAGTGTATTTGGTGGTCCTAGGGAAGATGGTCTAGATACTGTGTCAGCCCTAGTGTGTTTGGATACAGAGCATTGGTGGGCAAGAGATGAAAAAAGGAGGTGTGGGGTAAGAGTGGGCAAGTGCAATAGTAAGTGCTGACCATCTCTACTGCCTCCTGCTGCTGACTGAGCTCTCATTCAACCTTTATTTACCTGTGACAGCACAGCTGCTGTTTCAAAAGATGAACACATTCTTGATTTTTTTTCTTCTTAAAATACATCAGAGATGGGAATATATATGGAAGGAAAATACAGAAGGAAATACAGTATTCTGTAGGGTCGAGGAATTTAACTGATTGCGAACCAAATGGTTAGCAAATAAGGCAAAGAATAGCAAAAAATGAAGTTTCTAAGTTTTACCAAAGCCTTCTTTATGACCATTATATTGTGCAGAGATGCAAGGATCTCTCAGATCTTCATTTATGCCAGAGTATTCCTGTCACAACCGTGACAGGTCAGGATCTGAAGAGAGCTAGCTGCTCCACCTGCCTCACCATAAGGGATCAGTGCATAAGGGCAAGAAGTTTGAGTCTTCATCTTGGCACAGAACTTTTGAAGTACTCTCTGATCTCCTGGGATTTACACATGACTTGTGCTGGTAACTCGGTGTGGGGCTAAGATACTGATAGGGTAAGGGAGGGAGAATATACTGTTCATTGCGCATTAATGCATTTGTAAGACAGTGCTAATTATTTACACTGTGTCAACTCTACAAGTAACCATTTTTTTTTTCTGATTATAAAAATAAAGCACAGGTGAACAATTCATAGTTATGGAAAAGAGACTAAAAATCCATTGTAACATAAATCTGTAGTGTAAGCCCATCAGTGTTCCTGAGTATAATGGAACTCTGTTGTAGGTGGGTACAGTGTGTTGAATGGTATGCCCCCTCAAAATTCAAGGCCACCCAGAATCTCAGAATATAAGCCTGTTCGAAAATAGGGTCTTTTCATATGTTACTTAGTGATCTTGAGGTGAACTCATTCTGGAGTCAGAGTGGGCCCTACATAAAATGACTCGTGTCTTTATAAGAAGAGAAAACACAGAGACATGGGAAAGAAAGCCAGTATGGAGACCGAGATTGGAGTGGTGTGGCCACAAACCAAGGAATTCCAGGAGCTACCAGAAGGTGGAAGAGGCAAGGAAAGGATTCTCCCAGAGAGCCTGGGAGGTGTCCCGCAGACACCTTGATTTCAGGCTTCTGGCCTCTTGAACCGTGAGAGAGTCAATTCAGTGTGTTGACTCACACAGTGTGTGGCAAGTTGTTATGCTAGCCCTAGAAAACTAATACAGTAGGCTAGCCTTATTTTCTGCAGGAAAAAACAAGGGCCCAAGAATTTAAGAAACTTTACCAAAGTCGCACACTTAGAAGAGGATGGAGGCAGAATTGGAACCCAGGTCAGAGTGAGTACAATAGAAATTCAGAAAGGAGGCAAATTATGGGATTGAGACTCATTTTAATAAAGAAGATTACAGGAGGAAGTAATGGGAAAGATAAGGATTTTTAAAAATGACATTTTTAGTAAAATGTTGAATGTGCTGATGAATTGTCAACATGTTTTGTGGTCATTTGAAATTTGAATAGACATTTGGCACCAAGAAGAACAATGAAGGCCATCACCGGAAAATCCCAGTTTGGTTTTAGAAAAGGAGTTATTGGGATGCCTGGGTGGCTCAGTCAGATAAGCATCCAACTCTTGATTTCTGCTCAGGTCATGAGCTCATGGTTCAGGAGTTTAAGGCTGTTAAGTTTAAGGCTGTTAAGTTTAAGGCTGTTAAGCCTGTTCAGGCTCTATGCTGACAGTGTGGAACCTGCTTGGGATTCTGTGTTCCCACCCCCCCACCGCCCCTAACCCCACTAACTTGTGTGCTTGCTCGCTCTCTCTCTCTCTCTCTCTCTCAAAAATAAACTTAAAAAAAAAAAAAAAAGCAGTTATATATGGGCAGGCCACAGAAGTGTCACCCAGAGGAGTTGAGAACAAAACACAATTTCATATAGTTATTCTATAGAATTTAGACAATCTGTATTTAATTGTTCTATGATAGATATGATTTACTTCCTCCCTGAATCTCTCACCCTAAGAGCAGACACTTGGCTGAAGCACTTTTGAAAAGTACATTAGTTCGCTATTCAAGTGTCCTTGACAAAGGTATGTAGTAGTCTAGCAAACACACAGGCACCCAGTCATTAGGTACAGAAGAGTAGAGAGAATATTCTCAACTCATATAGTTTGGTAAGTACTTTGAGCACTCAGCCTCTCAGTGATCCTAGGAGCTGGGTCAACCAATATGTATCACTAGAGGCTGGTCCTGAATAAGCAAGATCGAGCTTGGGTCAGGGCAGAGACTGATGACAACCAACAGATTTACATGGACAGGCTGGTAGATTCAGTGGAAATTCATGCTTTGAAGGTACTTTGAGAATATCTTCCATCAGATTAATATTCTGAGATATGTTCTGGCTTTCAGATCTTGTGGGTTGTGGAGCATACACATCTTTAATATTTGTAAAACCCAGTTCGTATTGAAATGATGACCAAAGAGAGTTTGATTAATTTTCATGAATCTATTAATTTGCTCTACACTGTGTTTACCCATTTCTGGAGTGAGATTTTTAAAAGGTACTTGCGATCACATAATTACTTTGCATAAAACCCTTCAATGGATTTTCATTGCTTTTAGGACTAAGTTTAAAATTTCTAATTTGACTTAAAGGTCCCTCCCTGCATGGTCAGTTGGCCCTTTCCCCTCCACCTTGCAGGTAAATAGTACCCTCAGATCCAGGATAAAGGTCATTTAAAAGCCTTCCTTGACCCCTGGACTAGTTAGGTTCCCTTGTCAACTTCCCTGTCACGATTCCAGCTGCTTTTCCCTGGTGGCACATGCCATACTTACTATAGACGTGTGTGATGTGTGTACTTTTGTTTGTCTTCCTCTGTAAGGGCAGGACTGTGCCTGTCTTATCTCCACATCCCCAGCCCCCAGCTCAGTTCCAGACAGCAGTGGCACTAGGGTATTTGAAAAAATAAATTATGAAACACAGTTGACAATCATTGGCTAATGTGATAAAACTGCTGTAATATAAAGAGAAGGAAAAGCTCTTCCTTTTCCCTCAACCATCGGCTCTACCTGTGTTACTAACACTTAGCAGATGCATTTATTTTTATGCAAAGGCCAACTTTAGATGCATTAGGGGTAGAAACAGGACCAAGATTGGGCCCCTGCCCTCTGATACTTCACAGGCTAATAGCATAAGATACATACACCCTGAGGAGAGCAGTCTAGAGGGCTTCACAGATAATTCCTTCTGGAAATCCCAGCTAACTGATGCAGTTAGGAAGGGTGAAAGGGGTCATAGGTCTGCAGGTCTTCCTGCAGTGTTTTATCACGGATTGTGAAATATTCTGAAAGGAACAGCGTAAACCAATACAAATTTGCGAGGCTGCTTAGGTAAGAAATAATTCGAACATGAAAAGTACTGCAGCAGTTGTGAGCCCTTATATTCTTATGGCATCTAAGAGCAAAATCATTGGAGAATACAGATCAGTTTTCCTATATGAGTAGTCTAATGCCTTGTGGAGAAAAAAGTACTAAATCAGCATTGTCAAAAAGAAATAAGATGCAAACCACATGTGCAATTCTGAATTTTCTAGTAGCCACGTTAAATAACCCAACATACCCAAAATTTAACAAATATTTAAACTATTGACAAATTTTATATTTTTTTGTTCTTGTGCTAAGTTTTGAAATTCGGTGTATATTTCATATGTACAACACATCTCAGTTTGGACTAGTTACATTTCAAATGATCAATAGCCTCATGTGGCCAGTGGTTCCCATAATGGACAGCTCTAGATAATTTACCATTCAAGCTATTTATTCTGTTTTGATGTATGTTTGATATTTAGCTCCTTGGCTTACGTACATTGGTAGTTATGTTTTCAATAAGAGAAATGGACTCTGGATTTTAGGCCATGATATCTTTAATTTTTTTTAACCTTCTGCAAATGTGTTACATGGCACTATACTGGAGATCTTCCCCTGAAATAGAATGAGAGACACGGCCAGATTTGGCTGTGTTTCCTTCCCAGCCTTAGCTTAGTGATGGTGACAGAGACTTTTTCAGTTTGCACTAAGAAGTTGTTCTGACCCTGAGAAGTTGCATAATCCTATGCAAACTTCCAAGATGCATAGA